CTCCCTCAGGAACTCTCCATTCCCTTCCCAGCTCCCTCAGGAACTCTCCAGCCCCTTCCCAGCTCCTCAGGAACTCTCCATTCCCTTCCCAGCTCTGTTCCCTGCCTTGGCCATGCTCCAGCCCCTCAGGCTGGCAGGGCAGGAGCTGCAGAGTTTTGGCCACATCCACCTGCAGACTCAGGTTCTTGTTCTCCAGGAGTCTGAGCAACCCATACTCACCAGGCATGACTGCTCTTAGAGAAAATGTAGTTTTATCTCTGCAGCAACCAGCCCAGAGACAGTAACTCCCTTTTTCTACTTTGATATGGGGTCATCAATCAATTGAAAAAAAGATCTTATGTATGTATTTTGTCCAAAATAGTTTATTAAGAAAAAACCCTCAAACTCTTTTGAGAAGGATGAAAATACATTTGGTGGGGGTTTTTTTTGTTACTCTTTTCAATTGAAAATTAAAGTGGATACTTGGAAGTTTTTCCATCTGTTTTTTGTTTTTACACTCATTCCATCTCTCTTTTTAAAATGAACTCCATTTTTATCAAGAGAAAAAGAAAATAAATAAGTGACAAACAAGGCAAACTAAAAGAAGGTATTTCTATAAATAACAATATAAGAGTAAAGTGGTATACAGTGTTCTAGGTCAGAAAGAGACGGAATAAATTATCCTGAGCTGATGGGCCGTGGTGGCTGCTGCCTTGGGCACCCGGAGGAAGGCAAGGTGCCAGCCTGAGTCCTTAGTCCTGGCCCCCCAAAGCCCTCCCTACCCCCAGAAATCCAGCTGTTAACCGCATCGGGCTGCTCCAGATGTGCTCGGAGCGCTCCAGGTGCTGCGTCCCAGGGCACCTGCAGGGATAATGAGGAGAGAACAGAGCAGCAGCTGGCCGGGGCCACGGTGGCACATCTGGCCTGGGGCAGAGGCCGGCGGCTGCAGCCGAGGGGTGGGAGCTGCTTTTTACTGCTGCAGCTGAGGGGTGGGAGCTGCTTTTTACTGCTGCAGCCGAGGGGTGGGAGCTGCTTTTTACTGCAGCAGCCGAGGTGGGGGAGCTGCTTTTTACTGCAGCCCCCAGCCCTGCACCTCGGCCAGCCCCGGGCAGCTCCCTGCAGCAGCACACACCCAAACACCCACACACACCCACACACACCCTGAGCAGTGCCAGGGACACACCACCGGGGCTGGATCCAGCTCTGGGGAGCCCTGCAAAGGCACAGATACAGCAAGGCACTGACAGGACGAGGCACTTCTGCTCCAGGGCAGGGTTGGACCCTGCCAGGAGTCTGTGCGTGGCAGCAAAGGACGTCCCCACTTGGGGTATTTTGGTTGTGATTGATCTGAATATCAAACATGGGAGTCAAGTTGAGAAGAAAAAGCCATCAGGGAGATTCTCCTCCTTCCTCCTTGGAGCACACAGCCACACATAAGTGACTCGGGTTGGTTTGAAATGTCCTTGTGCTCAGAGCCATCAGAGACAGATCCCACTGCCTGCCCAGCATCAGAGACTCTCTGACTGTCACCCCAGCATCAAAATCATCCTGTCACCCCAGCTACAGAGTAACCCTCTGATTGTCACCCCCACACCAGAGAAACCGGCAGATTGTCACCCCAACATCAGAATCTCCCTGTGATTGTCACCCCAGTGTCAGTCACTGTGATTCTCACCCCAGCACCAGAGACACCCTGATTGTCACGCCAGCCTCTCTGCTGGAAGCTGTTTGTGTGTCCTGGTGCTTCAGGAGCAAACAGGAGATCACCTGCCATCAAGTGATGAAGCCCCAGGAATTACAGCACTTGGCTGTAATTTGAACAGTAGCCAGTGAAACCTGGGGGGTTCCTTCCAGCCAGCTGCAGTTCAGTCCTGTAGCTCCAGCTCTCAGATCAGTCTTGTTTGGACCAAAGCAGCACAGACACGTCCCCAGGCATCAAAAACCAGCCCAGTCTCTTGGCTGTTCAAAGCTCCACGTCCACGGCGTCCTCCTCACGGTCCTTGCTGTCGGTGGAGTCGGCGCTCGCAGGCTGGATCACCCCGAACTGTGACAGCTTCGCCGCCTTCTGCTCCATGCTCTGCTTCCTCCACTTGATCCTCCGGTTCTGGAACCAGACTTTGACCTGGATGGGAAGTGGCACAACAGCTTAACCCAAAGGCTCCAGGAGCCTTTGTCCAACCCACGAGTTCCTTAAAGTGGGGATCTGCATTATTCCAGGACAGAAGGAGGTGAAACTACAGAGGGCACAGTGGTGATGGGAAAGGATCAGGGGACAGGGGGAGGCAGCTGCACTGAGGTTCTGGCGAGGGAAGTGAAGGAAGCAGCTCCCTAAGGAACCCCGGAATCCATCCCCAGGACTGCAGTTTCCACAGGCCATGATGAGATGCCCAGTAATTATCCCTTGTCCCCCCCAGAGCTGGCTTTGTTTTGCTCTCCCTTTCCCCCAGCTGAATTTAGATCCCACTGTGGAAGATCACCTGCCTCCTTCTTTCCACACTTTCCACACTAAACAAGCAATTTACTGTGGGAGGAGCAGGAACTCACACGGCAAAGCAGGGAAATAATTATATCCAGTGTCATAAAAGGACACTTGAAACAGTCTCCAGAGGATCGTGACAATGCAGACACAGCAACCAACCCAGCTCCAACTCTAAAGCACAGCAGGGTTGTGCTCCTGAATGCTTTTTGTTCCACTTCATGGATTCAGAAATCTTACCCAAAAACCATCCAAACTCTAGGCCCGTCTCTTCTCCTGGCAGCAGGGTGTCCCACGGGTCACTTTGCACCGTGTCCTCCTCCCACCACGCTTCCCAGCGGGGCCATCAGCAGAGAGCAGCCCCAGGACGAGTTCCAGCAGCTCAGCTCCCCGTCCCTTACCTGGGTCTCCGTGAGATGCAGGGTTGCAGCCAGGTCCACCCTCTCTGTGCCCACCATGTACTGCTGCTTGAGGAACTCCTGCTCCAGCCGCTCCAGCTGCTCTGGTTTGAAGACCGTACGGACTCTCTTCATCTTGCAGGGCCCCCCCGACCTCCAAGGCCCAGCAGGACCCAGAGGGTTGGTCCCGACACAGTGAGACAACTCCAGACCTGTGAGAAAGCAGCAAAAATTGAAGGGGTCTGCACTAAAGGAGCTGGGAGAAAGCACCAAACCCAGCAGGGATGTCCCTGCCCTGTCCCTACTCAGATAATCTCATCCAGGCTGCTTTTCCCATGAAAAGCTGGAGTAGAAGAACTTTTGAGGGCCTGTTTTATGGTTTTACCCTCAGGGTACACCAAGGACAGTCCTGGACATGCACAGCCAGACCCAAAGAAATCAGCACTTAGTGAGGTGGGCAGGATTTGACCTTTGCCTGCACGGGACCTTTGCAACAGGACAATGAATTGCATCAAGAGCTGCAGAACACAAAAATCCCACCTTTGTCTCAAGAACCTTTGAATCACAAATGTTCAAAGCTTGAGAGAGTTGACCCCAGCCTGGCCCCTGGTTTTCCCTTTCCCTTGGCACACAGGCTCAGTGTCCAGGATCCAGCTCTCATGCAGGACCATCCTGCATCCCGGTAAAGTTGCCAGGGGTGGTGAGGATTTAGCAGTACTAACAAGTGTATCTGACCTGTCTCCTCTCCAGCTGTGGCCTGAGGATAACAGCAATTAGCATAAATTAACATACAATCCAACACCAGCACTGCCCTGGCACCTGACTGGGAGCAGGTCTCCCCTTCCCCAGTCCCTCATCCCCCATCCAGCCGATGTTCCAGCCGATGTTCCCCATCCAGCAGATGTTCCCAATCCAGACGATGTTCTTGCTCACTGCTGAGCGCCCAATCCTTGCAAATCCCTTCCCAGCCCGGCCATGGAGCCCGTGCCCAGCTGATTGCCCTGCAGATCTCCTCCAGGGCTCATGGCACAGCCCGTGCCCAAACTGATTGCCCTGCAGATCTCCTCCAGGGCTCATGGCACAGCCCGTGCCCAGCAGATTGCCCTGCAGATCTCCTCCAGGGCTCATGGCACAGCCCGTGCCCAGCTGATTGCCCTGCAGATCTCCTCCAGGGCTCATGGCACAGCCTGTGCCCAGCTGATTGCCCTGCAGATCTCCTCCAGGGCTCATGGCACAGCCCAAACTGATTGCCCTGCAGATCTCCTCCAGGGCTCATGGCACAGCCCGAAGGGTTCAGGAGCCACAGGAGCCACCAAGGCCAGCGCTGATGGCACCACCACGGCTCCTCCGAGCACCCGATTCACTTTAACATGACCACTAATTACAACCAGTGGGATTTTCCCTGTGGAAAGCACCGGCAGGATCAGGCCATTAATGGTCCCCATGTCTGCTCTTCAAATTATTGTGGCAAGCCAGGTTTCTCCAGCTTTTATGGAAATACTGCACATAATGATCCCCATTCACACCTGCTACTTATCTCTCCTTTAATGACTGATCTTGTCACGTTTTCCAGGCACAAACCTGCACCTTGACCTACTTATTTTCATTAATTGGGTGTAAGTTCTGCCTGTGTTTAAGGATTTGTGGGATGGAGACCTGACAGCTTAACAGCCGTAATTGCACTTAAAACTATTTTCATCATTAAAATCTTTTCACCCATCACTTTTTGTTTCTATTTTAACGCTGGAATAATAGCAAGTATAATTTCCAACATGAAACGCTGAGTGGAAATTGCTCTGCAAATCGTTTAACTGTGTTTTCATACCTGGATGTTTGATATAATATAAAGATTAACACAATTCTGCTGATGCTGTCTCATGAAAGAAATAATATATTAAATAGTTGTGCTAAGTACTTTGTAAAAGATCAGCAAATGCTTTTGGTGCCAGAATATTGTCGCATCAGGATCAAATCTGGAGTTCCTTATCCACAGAGAATATGGGCCCGGCTGCAGGTTTTGCCTGGACAGCAGCAAGATCACACTCTGAACGCTAAAAAGGAATACCTAATTTCAAGAAAAATACTCTGAATGGAGATACTTTGTTAAAATCACTTGGCCGTTGTCCTTATAAAGTTCCAGTAAAAATAGATCCTGACATATCAGGAAGTATCATCCATCACCACGGTGTAAGTTTTACCCACCGATCAACAAAACCATTTTCCTTAGATGCTTCTGCAATAAAAATATGGAGTTTTGGCGGCCAAGTGCCGCAAAACTCTTGGCAGTTTCATTTCTGTGAGTGAAAAATTGCGGGGAAAGCAAAATTAAAGAGAGATGAGGGCAAATTTGGGAGAAGAGGGACCCACACAGAAGCAGAGGTGAAGAAATTAATTTTGGGAGCGAGGCTTTGAGAAATTACAGCAGGTTTTTGATTAAAACTGGCAGTGAAGTGCCTTCCTGATATATGAAAGGAGAAATAAATGCCAGTGTGTGCAAAGTCACCCGTAAAATCTCGTGGAGTCACAGACTGCTTTGGGTTGGAAAGCTCCTTAAAGATCCTCCAGTTCCAACCTCCGACACCTTCCGCTAGCCCAGGCACTGAATACTGCTTTTAGCGCTCCCACTTTTCTGTTACAGCTATTGCAGGTTTCTGGCTCCACCTCAAATGCAAGCAGCGAGTTTGGATATCCTGCACCCGGGTCCGGACTGCGGACTGAATAATGGATTAGTAAAACCCCATAGCATCTTCAGGAATCAACCACACGCTCTTTGTCAAACTGTTCAGAGACATCGGGTGTGTTAGAACCTGCCTCGCGATATCAAAAAAATTAACAAATAAACAAACAAAAAACCCCCCACATAAACAGTTCCTTTTTGGTCTCGCTATATCGATCACCTCCAGAGGGGAAAAAACTCCAAGGAAAGTTTTCCCTGCCTTGTCCCCGACCCGCAGCCGCAGCCCGAGGCTTCGGCCGGGCCGCTCCGGGGCTGCGGGAGCGCAGCGGCAGCGGGGCCGGGACTGTGGGGGACCCCGAGCCCGATAGTCCCAGCGGGGCGATGCCGGGGCCGGGAGTGTGGGGGGACCCCGAGCCCGGTATTTCCCAGCGGGGCGATGCCGGGGCCGGGAGTGTGGGGGACCCCGAGCCCGATAGTCCCAGCAGGG